TTGCTGCTGTTGTTTTTGAGTTGAGGGAGACATTCTTAAGTGTTTTTTTAATCGCCATTTAGGTTTTTGGTCATATTTTCTGTTAGCTTACCATGCAAACCTTAGCTGTATGCCCTTTGGATTGATTCTTGCCTCTTCCACCACAGCCTCCAGTAGTAAAAACAGAGATGGTGACCATTTCAGATGCTACACAAAGAACTGAAATCTCCACCAAGGAAGTTCCAATTGTCCAAACAGAGACTAAAACCATCACATATGAGTCTCCACAGGTACAGGTGCTGGTGATCTTTTATGATGTTGTTTACAAATTGGTCTTTTTATTAAATCTTATTCTTGGTTAAATTCAAGAGAGATGGCGATATAAAAATGGTTTAATAAGCAACATTTTTCATAGAGGGCCTCAGATTATATTGTGACTATGGAATAAAGGAATTACAACATGTAGATAGTGATGTAGGGTTGTTTTTTTTTTTAAACTGCCCTTAAGATCCTGAAGAGGAACAGTAACTTTGACAAATTTGTCAACAAGAGATAGATGTTAAAATAGGCTGTATGACTCAGCAGACGAAGTGGCTTTTATTTTAGAGTGATCTATAACATGTACACAAAACCAGTGTCTTCATATGGTTATTGTGTTGGCCAACAATGCCGCACATAGCATGGGGAAGAGTACACAGATGTGTCTGTTCTAAAAACATTTTTTCATTTGAACTGAAGATGAATGTTGTAGGTGTTCAGTGCTGAAGTTTGCATTGACTTCTTTCAGTGAAAAGCTCTAAATCCTAAGGCATGAAATACAACTTTTTCTTCCTTTCCAAACTACTCACAGCTTGATGGCAGTGCAGGTGGGGATGCTGGTGTACTGTTGAGTGCACAGACTATTACATCAGAATCTGTTTCTACAACTACAACTACACACATCACTAAGGTAAAACAAGTAACTTCTCAGTGCATTAAAAATAGCACTACATAAATATGCTTTATGTTGGTCTTCTTAAGAGCTGCTATTCATCATCATAAATGTGCAAATCACTGAAAAAAGGGGGCCTTAAAGACTAGGAACAGATATTGCATTTGTCCCTGAATAAGTTGTGCCTGTATGTGTCCTGAAACAGACCAATCCTGTGATTTGTGTGTACACACATTGCCCTTCTAATCAGGGTTTAGTTAGCAGCTGAATGTGCTGCTGCTTTTCTGTCATTGATTCAATAAGGCAATCCCAGGATAACTGTACAGACATATTTTGTAATATTCCAGGACAAACTCTTACTACCTCTTATCCGGGAAACTTTTTTTTTTTAGGATTTATCCTGGGACAGCAGGCATAGATGTATCTGTATGATTTGAACTTTGCCTGTCTGTTTGCAGCCAAAATGGATTGACCCAGCCTCCCGTTTTGTGATGGATAGCTGACACCCTTAAATAAGGGCTGAATATGACATTACTCACGATCCAGAGGGAGAACTAGGAAAAAGATGGAGGAGACATTGTTAGTTGAGAAGTGTAGGAAAACAGAACTAAGCTTTACATGTTCTTATTCCTACTCCTCAATGTTTTCTGGGAATTCTTGCAGGAAAGGACAATATGGTTGGAATCTATAGATACCTTCTAATGCAAGGGTCAGCAACATTGGGATTTTGGGGATTATATTAATAGCTTTTTTGGGATACCTTTGCAAGTAAAACCAACCACTGGGGGTCCCTTTTATCATACGTTACTTTAGGAGCTTACATGAATCTAAGTCCTCAGCTTCAAAAGAGAATCATGAAACTCAAAAGAAATTTCGTCTGTTTCTGTTTCTATCCTGTGTGGTGTTTTTACTTTCCCTTCCTCCATAAAAGCATGTTTTCTTTACCTGCTATTTATGGAAGAATTTTTTTTAATGAGCGGGCATGCAAATGATAGATTTAGTATAATTTTGATCACTTACTAACAGTTTTAAAAGGGAAGCGCAGGAATAATTACAGCTTATGAAAAAGCTAAAAGGAAGGTAAAATATAAAAGGTACAGGTTAAATTTTATTTCAAGATGAGAAGATTCAGTTTGTGACTACCTATGACAAGAATTCAGGGTTTATAAAATGAGTTTCAGAAAATATCCTAAAGGAAGAATTATTTATTGACAGTAGATCTGAAAAGAAGGGTTTTGGAACATTCTTGAATGAAGGTCCTGCAGAACAAACTCTAGACTAAGCATTTTAAGGAGAGATTAATTAACATGCCTTCTTTGATTTCCTGTTCATTTCAAAATTAGGAATAAAAGACTTCAGAGAAACATTTGAACCTCCTGTTTTAAATCAGTATCTTATCCTGTGCATGTGTGCAGCTGTAAGAAAACCTATGAAATGATAAAGACTTTTTTTGGAAGCAGCCATTTCAAAAGTTTGAATCAATCTTGTTTTCATTAAATGACCAATTCAGCAAAGAATAGGATAGCAGTCTTGAAACCAGATTTGCCTCATCATAGGTATCAGTGGATTTGTGGTTGGGGTTCTGAATGCCCAAACTGCTCTCCAATGTCCTATTCAAAAATTTTTATTGTAGACTTAGGAAACTTCCAACATAATCTAAATCTTCCTTTGGTGTTCTTGAAGGATTTGTTTTTGAATTTTCCTGGGATTTAATTATATTTTAATTTCCATTGATTAGTCTAATATAACTTGTCTTACATGTTCTATCTCTGGTCTCAGTGATATTCTTGATTTTGCTGTTTGGAAGTCTTTCATAACAACCTTCAAAGAACGACATATTTATAAGAAAAAAATTTTAATCTGATCATCCGCATAGGTGTATATAACAATGTGATCCAATAGTATCTTCCCTTCTGGCTGGATCTTCAGCTGTTTTAAACATTAGGATAATGGAGAAGCAGGGCAAAATGGGTAAAGGTGTTTCACCTGAGATTTTGTAATTAGATAGCAAAGTTGGTGAGGCAAACTCACATGGGTAGATCAGAAGAGAGAACCTTTGCACTAATACTGCAGAAATTTTGTGCAGGAGCTGGGAAGATGAGTTGATATGTATCACTGTACCATTTCAGGAGACCTGTAGTGTGTTCTGATCCAGGTCTTGATGAAAAAGACCTGTGTCCCTGACCAAACAACTACCTCCAAAACTAACCTCAGCCAATATCTGATCGTATTCTATGCTGCTTCAGTTCTTGGGCAACTTCTTGAATGGCACTGCAGTACAATTAACCACATTATTAAAACTGGAGAGGAGAACTAGCTTTATGCGGAATAATTTGTTATTCACCGCAACCCTCCAACACCAGAGTTTACTTGCTTCAGTGTTCTAGAGATGAAGCACGTAAGTGGTTATCACTTTCCTCTCTAGTTATATGTAATAATCGGAAAGATTAATTTCTTTTTTTATGTGCCATCTGCAGACGGTGAAAGGTGGTGTATCAGAAACAAGGATTGAGAAGCGCATTGTCATTACTGGCGATGCAGATATTGACCATGACCAGGTGAGTACCTACCTTCTTCTTTACTAGGGCATGTCAATTGTGGTCCAGAATCAATGACATTCAGAAAAGGAGGCATCAAGTAAATTCCTGGGTAGGGACCTACTCAAATTGCAATTTTGTGAATTTTGTGGAAATTGCAAAATCAGCCAACCTTGAAATCCACAGGGGGGAAAAAAAATCGTACCTAAAAATAGAGTGCTGGCTCCCCAGTGGGAGCCAGCAGTTCTCCGGGCCATGCAGCCTCGCATGAATGGGGCTGCCAGCATTAAAAGCAGGCAAGATGGCTGCAACTCCTGCCCCTCACCACTGATTGGCTGAGAGGGCTGCTTATCATGCGACCCCACTCCCTCCACCAATTGGTGATGAGGGGCAGGGCTACTTGATGGACAGCCCTCATCCAATAAGCAGTGAGGGGCAGGGCCATATGATGGAGAGCCCTTTTCACCAATCAGTGGGGGACACCACCATGAAAATGGCTTTGGGGCTTAGAATCTGCCTGTGAAATTGGCCAGCCCCCACCTCAAGTTCGGTAGACCCCTGTTCATAGGAGTGGGTAGATTCTGTTATATCAACTTATACCCGCTAACGTACTTTATGAAAAGAGTGTCTGTGATGCAGCTGAGAAGAGGAGCAGTCTCTTTATTTTCCCGTTATTGTCCACATGGGAAGTATTCCTGTACTCTAGGTTTAAACAGGTTATTTATGTGAAAGGGACTCAAATTGCTTGTTGCTACTGTTTTCCATTTGAAAGGAAAAACTGAATGACAGCCCTACCACCATAATGTGCTGGGAAACAGTAATCTAAACAAACCATAGTTCCCAGTTCTGTGTCGTCAATATATTAACACAGCCCAGTTTTTGAGAGAGAGTACAAGTTTTGCAGTACATTAGGACATACTGATATTTCCCTCTAAATGTAAGAAAACAATCGATTTTTATATTCATGTGAATTTGCAAAAATATGAGTATAGGCCAACTATATCTTAATTGTGCATCTCTCTGAATCATGCATGCATAATTTAATCTTCATTTGCACAAAAAACTAGTGCATGCATTCATTTTCTTGAGGAGTTAAAATATGGATTTACCTGTCCAGGAAAAAGACTGACTTTGAAAAGTGGAGAACAAAAAAATTAGAAAATCTGTTCCTTGGAGTTGTGATAATTCAGACAATGTGCATAGCTTTTCATTTAAGAATCTAGGGTGACAAAACTGAAATAAAAGATAGCTAGCCATCACTGGAGTTTTTAAAGCAAAAGTCTGCCCTTTATATCATGTGACAGTAAAGCCAATTGTAAATTGATGGCAGATACATAAATCTACAGAACGGAGTTTTAATTTCACTTCTTAATTGTAATGTACTCAGGACTCTGTAAATTTAATTTCAGATTTTGATGTGCCTGTAGCAAGTGGCTCATGACAAGTTCAATCTCTCCTTGAAGCTTGTAATTAAATGGCAGAGCTGTTTAGCATTAGGCAAGGGTTATATCTACTCTGACACTCATTTAATGTATTTGGGACATCTGAAAAGGTCAAATGCTACCTTTGCTTTTATAAAACTCCATTTACTGCTCTCCATTCCTTCTCCTTACACAAAAATAAACAATTATGAAGCGAAAAAATAAATTGTAAGAATTGTAAGACATACAGAGAGAGTTTTTCATACCAGCATTAAACCCTCTGTTTAGCTTTTGGCTACTTGTGGAACCTTCTACTAGAGGCTGGCCCTGAAGTGGATCTGTGAATTTCATTGTGTTCAAACTGTGTGATAGTTTTGTTCATTGGCTGTTGGCACTGTTCAGCACATGAAAATATTCCCAAATCATCAAGATTTGTTAGAAAGCAAGTATTTCTAACATTCAGTTTTGTATTAAAGATTTCAGTTGCTCTTCCTTGCACAGAGTCTGATAGAAGTCTTAATTTTCAAATGTGAGTAATCCTTTCCTTAGAAATCCTTGGTTGTACTATACAGATTACATGGGGTGAATCTTAAAATGTAAAACACTAATAAACCTATTAGGATTAAAAAATGACAGCAAGCATCATGTGGCACTAGGGCAGTATACCCCTCATTTTGCCATTGAATCACTAAGATTTCTTTTCAAACCTTAGTGCAATGGTGATGTTGCAGCTGTGACGTTCCAGAAAGTATGCAAGAGACAGATTTCTTAGGGTGATCTCTTTTATTGGACCTTAAAACAAATGTTTTGCATTCGAAAGCTTGTCTAACTCATTGGACCAAGTGCATAGTTGGGATAGAGTTAGACAAGCTTTCGAATGTAAAACATTTGTTTTAAGGTCCAATAAAAGAGATCACCCTAAGAAATCCTTTTCTAACCTTGACATTCTCTCTTGATTTCTGCTTCCCCTGCCCCCCACCCCCCGGTCTCCTCTCAGACTTTTTATTTCCTCTTCTCCCTACCACAATATGATTTGGGAAGATATTGTTCATTCAACCCATAGCCCTTCAAAGTGAGATGGTTGTTTTACTGCACCCTGTTTTCTCTTTTAGGGTTTTCAGTATTTTTTTTGTCTCCCTTGCCACTAAGTTGACTGTGGATTTATGATGGCTTATGAAATACCACCTCCAGCTCTTGCCTCCTGCTTGGTTCCTCATCCCTCATCTGTGTTTATTCACTGCTTGTGCAGAGCAGCACAGTTCACTGAACTAAGATGGCCTTGGCTATGATTCTTGACTAAAATCAAAAACAAGCTCTTTTGCCTCCTGTGCCTCTCTCTTTAATGTTGCTGTGCTCCTCTAATATGGCCTTGTATGCGAGTCCTATAAGTATATTTCTTAATGAAACAAGATTTATTGACAACATAAAGGAATAAAAATAAATTTGCTTCATTGTTCCTGAAGGTAAATATTTTGACCTGCCTCAGTGAAGTTCTTCTAAATCTAATTTGCACTTCTCTCCTGTCCTCCAGTTATGACTTACTGATTTATTGATAGACAATAATTAGTCTGTCATAACTATTTTAGAGTATGTTGCATGAAGGAGTCAATGCAACTTGGATTATTCTCATTAATTCGTAATAAATGGAACCATCTCTTTCTGTTGCTGTCTGTTGTTCTGATGTAGCGTTACATCCTAATGTCAACAACATAAATAATTTACAATGTTTTTCCAAAATATTGTGGAAGGGTCAACAAATTATGAGAACCCTAGACTAGGAGAAATGGGAAATGTAAAGACATATAGCTAATTAAGTTTTCTTAGATCAAGCATAAGTGTAAACTTTTGGGGAAATTAATGCATATAGAAAATCAATATGGTCTATTCACTACCTGGATAGTGCTGCAGAGGACCCTTAATTTAATTTATTTTATCTGTATTTACAGTACACAAAGATTTCTTGTTGCATGCAGTGAACCAGATTAACTACTGGACAATTCCTTGAGTTGGTCCTCTGGCTTTTGATAATCTTATTAAACTATTTATGCTTTTCTTGCCAGATTGCATACTGTGTACACAGAAATACCCAACCCAAAGTTCTCTGAGTGGAAGGAAATACTTCTAGGTACCACTTGCAACTCCGAAGTTTTCCCATGCTTATTTTCCCAATGTACTTGTAGTAAACAACACATCAGGGTAGCTTTCATACCATCTTGGCTTTCCAAGGTGAAATTTGGGCCGGGACTCTCGTGCGACTTAGGCTTTCTGCAACTTAGGCTTGCTGAATTCAAGGTTTTCCCGAAGGTGTCTGTAGAAGCTGTTCAGCAATTAGTGATCGCATCTAGGAAAATAACTAACTTAAGTAATTAGAGTTCAAATAAGACAGAATAGCATTTAGAAATTTTGTTCTCCAAAATACTATTTTTCACAAAAGATACCTAATATGCAAATAACTATCGTTGTCTTGTCATGATTTGGGGATGCATTTGCAGCCTTTTGCTGTGAGTTACAGAGAGCAGGCATAAGATTTTTTTTTAAAAGATTCCCTTTTTCTTAGGCAAACATGAGATTGTCCTGCATAGTTGTTAGCTAATGTGGTCTCTTTTATCAGCCATCATGTTCATGTATTGTCCATGTGGTTGCTTCAGTAAAAAAATATGGGATTGAATAAAATATGAATTCACCTATTCAGTAAAAATGCTGACTTTGAAAAGTGGAAAACAGGAAAATTAGAAACTCAATAATCTGTTCCTTAGACTCATGAAAGCTTGAACAACCTGCATAGCTTCTCATTTAAGAACTCAGAATGACAAAACTGAAGTAAAAGATAGTTAGCCATGACAGGAAACTCTTTTCCAATTTAATGGCCCTTTAAACCCAGGTGTTTCAGTCCTGAACGCCTGTTAAACTGAATGTGTTGCTTTTGGATTCTCCAGATCAGACCAAATCTTAATGTAATTTTACTGTTCCTCAACTAAGCCTTTCCAATATGTTTGTAGGCATTGGCACAGGCAATCAAAGAAGCCAAAGAGCAGCACCCTGATATGTCTGTCACAAGGGTAGTGGTACATAAAGAAACTGAACTTGCTGAGGAAGATGAAGGATAAGTTCAAGGTAAGGCAGCCTTACACCATCAAGCAAAATAGTGCAGGTAAGCCTGAAATATATAAGTCCTATTATGCTGGTGGTTATTACTCACAACTGTCCTTCAAGAAAAGTATAGTCTGAAAGGGAACATCATCTCTCTTTAGCATGTATGGTTCAATTTTTTAATAAGTGCTCAATAGATGTATGCATTTTAGTATCAGTGAAGATGGATACATCTGAATAGCAAGTTACCTCAAACACAAGATGCGATGCAGCTTTCAAAAGACTTGTAAAATTCATTTTCAATCCTAATTTCAAATTTCCTACAAAAATCTTCATTCACAAAGCCTTTTTACAGTGTTTACTTTTAGCATTCCATTAAATTATCTAAGTTTGTGTTAAGACATGTACCTCAGGTAATTTATGCTCAGTTTGAAATATGGGAGCCCACTCCCTGCTCCTTTGTGTGACTGATTTTGTTGGTAGTTAAAAGGTTATTCCCACTCTCCAAATTGGACCTAGTCAGTATATTTCTAGGTCTCAATCTTGCTGAAATGTTTAATCTTTTTCTTTTCCTCTGGAAAAGAGTTTAGTTTGCAAGCTGGAGTTTAAGCTGCTTGTCAGTTGAGGACAAAGTAGATCAGAATTCCTCCAAATATTTCACTCATTTCAGTGTGCCTTTAGGAAGTCACTGTAGGATCTTTGATGTTAAGACATTCAGGCAAAGGGTATTCCTGCACAGTTAAGGAAACTTTTAAAAATTCACATCCTCACTGATTTTTTTTTTTTAAATCAAACGAGAACCTTTTACACTGTAATGAAATGAATAATCTGAAGCACTACAGACCACAAATCTAAAGTTGACATTTTTAAGGGAGAATATTTAATTTGTACATAGTCCTGTTTAGTCAGGTAATGCCTCGTGTTTGTTTTGAAATAATGAGAAATTTAACATTGTAGTTAATTTTAGGCTCTTTAAATTGAGTGTATTCAAATTAATGGATGTTAGCTATGCCCAGGATTGAATTAAGAACTTAAATAAATAGAAATCTTTCTTTGTCTTGGCTGATGAAATTCAAACCAACATAATTACTACTATAATACCTTTCTGGATCCTCCAATATTTTAATTTACAGTCTAACTTTTATTCAGTGTCATTCAAAATATAAGGTGCTAGGTGAAATGCAGTACTAGTTAATAAAGTAGTAGCAATGCAAATCAAGGCCAGTTGGGATGGACAGTAACCCTAGACAAAACAGAGTCCCATTAACATAAGGTTGTAACAAATTCACTCTAAGTTATCGTAGCCAAGTTCAGTATTGCATTAAAAAATGTCCATCTTATCTTCATAAGAAATAATATCCCCATGTATTATTGTCCTTCATAACATTCTCAGTATGAGGAGCTATTTAAATGATAACTCTGTGTTGGTTTCAGTTTGTTAATCCAAAATTTTTTGTTTAACAGATTTTAAACTATTTTGTTAGGTTAATATAATTTAATAAAAAAAAAATGTGGTATGTTAGTTGCCTTTACAGAAACTTTATTAGTCAAATGGACTGTTTATAGATATTACATTTTTCTAGGTTTCATTTGGACTACAGCTGTTACTGCGTACACATGTGGACGTCTGTAGTCTGAATGCACTAATCCTCATTGAATTGGGATTAAAGTTAATGCACACTAGGGCATTTTGAATTAGGCGATTTAAACCACATTATAGATTCATAGTTTGTAAGGCCAGAAGGGACCTTGGAAGATCATTAGGTCCAGCCCCCTGCACCAAGCAGAAAAGATAACTTGGGGTCAGGTGACCCCAGCAAGGTAACCATCCAGTCTTCTCTTAAAGATTTTCAGGGTAGGTGATTGCACCACCTCTGGAGAGAGCTTATTCCACAGTCCAGACACCCTGACTGTGAAGAAGTTTTTCACTGTTGAGCCTGAATCGGTCTTCCAGGAGTTTGTGGCCATTTCTCCTAGGTTTCCCCTTCTGTACCCTCGTGAACAGTTGGTCACTGAGTCCTTGATGTACGCTAGCTAGTGTAGCGGTAAGATGCTACCAGCTCCTCTCTCAGCCTTCTTTTCTTCAGGCTGAGGAGTCCCAAATCCCTCAGCCTTTCCTCATATGGCTTGCTGTGTAAGACTCTGATCATATGGGTGGCTCTTCTCTGGACTCTCAAGCTTGTCCGTGTCTTTGTGGTGCCCAGAACTGGACGCAGTACTCCAGCTGCGGTATCACCAGTGCTGAGTAGAGCAGAAGAATCACTTTCTTGGTTTTGCTGGAGATGCATCGATTGATGCATGCCAAAGTATTAGTTGCCCTTCTGGCTTCACTGCCAGCTCATATTCATACTGTGCTCTATTATTATGCCCAGGTCCCTTTCATTCGTGGTGCTAGTCAGTTTCGTGCTGCCAAGCCTGTAGGTATGTTGGAGGTTAATTAACAGGTATATGTGTGTCCTCAGGAACTTGGCAGATAAGCATTGCAAATATCAGTCTCAGGAAGGGAAACTAAGTTGAGTTTTTTGCACCACAACAGAGGCTATCAGGCACAAAGTAACATCTTTACAAAGTCAAATGTGCCAACAGAACCTCACCCTGACTAAATCTCAGTTGCAGGTCAATTACACCCATTACAGCTTCTGGAACAGCTCTTTAGATAGCTGTCAGTAGGATTGAACGATGTAGCAGTGGTTAAACTGGCTTATTATTGCCTCCTAATTACTTCCAAGCATAAGCCTACACACACAGGCTGTGAATTGAGTCTGTTAAGGGGCTTTCAAGTGTATAGACTGTGTATAGCCAATGCCCCCTGCCTTGATGGTCAGTGATCATCTATAAACCCTTCATGGGAATTGAAATTTGATTCCATGTGATGCAAATTGGTTAGCATGGTTTAGAAAACAGTGAGCACTTCTACAAACAGCCATAACATTCTCCACATAACCAGTGCACACCACCATCTGTATTACAGGCTTCACAGATACAAAATTAAGGCTTAATTCTCAATCCCTCTAATTAGCTATGAAAATATAAAAACAATGGGAAACACAACACCTTCTCTCACTTGTGTGTATGGTTACTCTCTAGAAAGGAACTACCATTTTATGATCTTTTTTTTTTTTTAAT